TGCACTGCAGTTGCTGTACGTTGTTTGCAGTTTTAAATGCTTGAGCTTGTTAAAGTCGGGTGGATTCCGATTGACTGTTAATGTTTTTATTTTATCAGCTGAAAAAATGGTTCTGAATGTGATTCTAACAATACCATTCCTCTGTGTTGTTATAGTTGGGGTGTGGACTATCGCTATTCTCATAGAACTGGAATGATTAGTAAAACTTTATAGTTAACGTTTGTGGTGTTAACAGGCCTTTATAGAGACTCCATCAGTTCGGAGCACTCATTTTCATTCATACCTCCATCTCTCTTTCCATCTGCTCTATCTGAGCAGCCAGCTCCTCGTTTTTCTCCAGCAAAGCTTGGCCCACCTCAGCAGCCAAGATCAGGTCCTTTTCCAGCAGCGTAGGACTGCTGTCATCCTGAGGTGAGGCGAGAAGATCATCTGCTCCCATTGTAGGAGCCATGATCCGGTGACCGGAGGAAGAGTGTGACGAAGAGAAGGGGAAGAAAGAATCCTCCAGTATGGGAGAGGGTAGGTTCTCCTTCTTGGATGAAAACATTGGTCCGTCCCTCAAGTTCACGGCTAAACAGGACTCCAAGTAACCGTCCTGATAATCAAAAGTTGTTCATCTGCATCCTTCCAATTCTAAATGTCCAAGGCTGTAGTCTAGACTGGATTTTCAAGAAAACACAGAACCTGACACCTCTTGGTTTTGTATATCCTTCAAAAGATGATCAGCCCTTGTGTGTGTGTCACACGCAGGGTGTACTGAGGCTGAAGCTTCCTCCAAGGGTGGAATCATCAGTTGATTTATTGTTTGCTTTATCTTGAGTCTTCCTTATAAATCTCCCTATGGAAAGAAACGTGTTGAAACAGGTGAATTGTGTTGGAACTCACCCGGAAAATTATGACACAAAGCTGGCAGGTGTTTTCGTTTATAATATCTAATCCTCCTGGACTGTAAAGAGCTTGGATTTCGTCCCTATACAGTATGTGTATCCAAACGCCACATTATCCATTTCTACCTTTGGGCATTTCTATTGTTGTCTAGGAGCTTCTTTTGTGGACATGACCAACATAACAAAGTTTCAGTGTTTCTCTCACATTCCAGTAGTCATTCAAGACTCCTCAGTGGCCCAGTGACTACACCCCTTACAATTGGCTAAACAGGTTTTAAAGAGCACAAGACATAGGTGACCTCCTTAATGCTGATATTTCACCTCTATTTTATTTAGCATAGCTGGAAAGTGTTTTCTTGGAATAAAACAGGAACTACTTTCCTGTCTGTGGATCATAATGGAGGAAACCCAGGCACAGGATGATATAAATGGATGTAAACCAGAACCTCTGGCAAAAAGTGTTTATTAATATTAACATGATGTAGTATTTTAACGGCATTGAAACTGCTGAATCAACTACATTAGTCTAATGTAGTGTAAATAAAACAGCCCAAACTGTTCGTATCAACTTCACAGCAAATAAAGGCTTATTAAAAGACTTAAGAACTTAAATGAATGTTTTATATTCAACACAAATTTCTTGTAAAATCGGTAAGAAAGCGTCTCTCAGTAGTATTAACGTTCCTATTGACTATTTAGAACAAGTAATGCTTTATTTTTCCTACCTGGGAAGTTCCTGCTCCAAACTTAGCATGAAAGGTGACAGTGACAGGGAGGTACTGCTGGTCGCCTTGGAAGCGCTGCTGTGAAGCTAATTAAGCCACACCTTCTCGTGGCGTCATCAGTTTAGTGGGAGGAGCCCAAACACACACAAAGGGCAGGTGACGCTGACGTCAGGCGTTCAGGTGAGATACAGTCGCAGATAAAGTATGAAACTTCGATTTGTATAAAAAAAAACGGAAAAATACCACTACGATTTATTCATTAATGTAAACATTGGGGAATTAAACCATTGTTTTGAATTTTGAAGGCAGAAGTTCAACAAACCAAAAAAACAATATGAAGTTCCAAAAATAGGAAAGCTGTCAAATTAATTTTTGTAACCATTTAATTGTTTTATATAACTTAACCGTCATTATGTTTATTTGTTTGTTCTAATGTATCCTCTGGCTGTAATTGTAAATATTTAATAGGCTATTTAATAAAAAAAAACTATGGTTAATATATTTGTTCATTTATTGTTTGTATGCCTTTGTATGCATTTGGTTCACTTTTCATATTTTATGAGTTTTTACTTCTGTCTTTTAGTCTTACCGATTAACCTTTCATCCTTTTTTCTGAAATCAGTAAGTTGTTTTTATACTTTGAATAATATCTGTTCAATTTCTGTAAACAGAAAGATAATGCATTTCTTTCTGCTGATTTGTACTTTTTTTTTTTATAAAATGAAGAAATAAACAAATTTGCCTACCTTGCCAACTTTGGAATATAAATGATCATATTCTTTTATAATTACTTTCAATAGAAAAGTTGTCACAAATGATTATTTTTACAATTATTTTTTGATTCATATTAATTTACATGATTGTAGATGTCGATAAAGGACCATCAGAATGTATGTAGTTCAAATCTGAATTTGAACAATTTCCTGACACAATTAATTAAGCTACACTAAAGTATATGGAATGCTAAAAAAAAATCTCTATTCAGTTTCATAAGAAACTTTCCAGTGAACTTTACTGTCTTATTTTAGTTTTTTATCTTAATAAATAATTTAAAAATATATATTTTAACATTTTGCCTCTCTCTCTATTTTCTTTTGTCCCATCATAATTCTTTACATAAAGCATTGAAAATATGACTGATTAATTCTTCCCACATGTTAAAGAAATTACATAACAAAGGATTGTGCTTATGTATTAAAACTTTCATAAAACTTTCAATTAATCTCTACATTTGTATAACTACAACATGCTTCAGAGTGTTCAAAGATCATTTTATAATTCTCTCTGAAATGCTGTGTAGGTAAGTGAAGTATTCGTAATTTCCACAGTGTCAGATGTTATGCAGACTGCCAAAACATTTCTCACCAGGCATAAAAGAACCCGTTCAGAGGCTGTTAGGTAACCTGCTCATTGCTGCCACTTTGTGGTTAAAGTTTGTTTGTTTTGTTTTGTTTATTTATTTATATAGCACAGTTTAATGCAACACCAGGTTGCCCAAAGTGCTTCACAATATAACAATAAAATTACATAACAACAAGCATAGTCTCAAATAATAACACAAAACAATTTAAAATAACTAAACCTGCATCACAACAACTGTGGAGGGAGCAGCTTCTATTCGCAGACAACCAGCTTCTTCCTGATAGATAACTGGAGATCACGATTTCACTTAGTAAGGTACTGGATTTGCAATGTACAATTAGTTTTGTTGGACTGTTTGTGATATTTCAAGGTGATCCAAATATGGAAGTGGCTCAGAGAGACCATAAGGAATCCTCTGAAACAAAGTGAGTGTTGATTTTTTTCTGCTGTGAAAGGACGGGTTGTTCAACCCCTGGCAAAGGCCTCAGCCTCTGTAACTAGTTGCTGGGACCCGTGGCCTGGCTATGTCCCTTACTGTGGTAATAATGAACTGTTTGTGGATTCAGATAGGATTAGCAATATCTACACAAGTGAGAGTCTGTGAAACTTGCAGCAATACTTCCTGTTTTCTTGACTTCATATTTTTCTCTTACAGACCCTGAATGAAGCTAGTTACAACTATGGGCTCTGCTCTGAATCTTGGCTTACAGCTGTAACACAAGAAAAACCTACAAAAATAAAAAGGAATTTTGAATAACATACAAAAAAGACAGTCAGTGAATCATATACTGAATAATTATGTTTGCAATAGTAGTCGGATTTTGTCCTTAAATGGTAAAGAGAAAAATAAATTACTTAGTAATTAGAATTACTTGTGTTCTATATAAGTAAACACACTTTATTTGAGTGGAGTGTTACTGCAATTTTTCCTGTTATTATGTGGATTCGCTAGGCCTATATGCAGGGGCCGGACTGGCCATCTGGAGAAGTCTGGTTCATCATCAAAGAAAAAGTGTCAGTTGTGACAGTAAGGGACGTTGACGGCCGACAAAAGGGGTCGCTAATGCAATCTATTTTTGCTTATAAGAAACCAAAACTGACACGTAGGAGAGTGGGCTAGTGATGGCAAGCAAAAGACATGAAGATAAATGCGGTTGGGAGAAGCTAAAAGGAAAAAAGCGAACATACGTCAGGTTACCTTTGCCCACCTCTCTCACTATTCACAGCATGTAGCCTATAGCACTACAGTAAAATCCCAGGTCCGAGCGTCCACTGCTATTTATCACTCTGCAATGTCCAGCATGAATATTCCATTCATTCATTAAAAGACAGCAGCGATTCTACAACGGGTTACATTTGAGAGCTATTGAGTTAGAAAATTGAGTAAATGAAGTAGACTATAAGGTGATTAGTCTGATTAACATGACACGCACACACACTGAGAGAGAGAGAGAGAGAGAGAGACATATACTCAAATTTAAGAATTCTGTTGTTTCAGGTTTCTAGATTCTAGGTTTATGTTTATCATCGTCATATACATTTTGCATTCAGCTCTATGTAGCTTTCAACTATTTTAGTTACATACAATACATTTATTTCAATCCTGTTGAAAAAAAATAGAAACCATCACATAATTTGTAATGGTTTTACTGGTTATAATGAAAATTGTATTGGTTTTAATGGAAACTGTAATGGCGCCTGTTGGGCTCTACTGGTAATTGGTCACCTTCTATTCATGGCTTTTGTTAAAGCCACTAAATCCTAATGTAATATGTCCCAAAACACACTACAGGAAACCATTATTTAATGGTTTTAATGGTTAAAAGTTGATGGTTTGTAATGGTATTTGTAGTGGAAATCGTTTGAATTTCTGTGATGGTCTCTATTGTTTTTGTCAGCAGGGTCACCGTGGGTTTTGTGATGTTATTTGCCATAAATGCGATAGGATTGCTGTAATATTGTGAGATAGTAGTGACTGTTTGTAGTTGTGGTGGGCCTATTTGGGAGAAAATCCACGCAGGGCTGTTTTTTACTCCCAGTCAGTCCCTGATTATATGTCTACTTTCTGAAAATGGGTGGGGCTTGGCCTCAACTGGCCCCTCCCACTTGAGCTTTAGTCCTGTTCAAACAAACTATGAATCAGACACACAGAGATGGAGAGACGCGGTGCTAACTGGACCCTTCTCCTGGTGCTGTGTGGCCTCCTGCCACTGAACACTCAGGCTGGCAGCCAGATGCCAAAACTCTCGAACAACAAGCTATGCGCCGATTCAGAGTGTAGCCGTGAGTAATGCAAACCAGCTGATTTAACTTTAATATATTAGTTGTAGGGAAATTTCAGGATAGTTTTTTTTTTTCTTTGAGTGTTTTCTTTTAAATGTTGCATTTCAACATAAATCACTTTGTTAACACTTCATAAGGTTCCATTTGTTAACTTTATTTAACATTAAATAACATCAAAACAATTAAAATATTTGATTAAATGTTCATTTAAATATGTACTAATGCATTATTAGTCAAAAGTTGTAATTATTATTTATTGGACCTTAGCTAACATAAACGAACAATGAACGGTTAGATTAATAAATTCTGTTAAAACAATAATATGAATTTGCTGAATTTGTTACAGTCTATTTTTATATTATAAAAAAAATACTTGCCTTACAAGTTGACAAACAACATGGACATGATCTTTTCTTTTTTTTCTATAGGCTATATATAATGATAAAAAAAACTTTAAATGGTGATAAAATTGTTATAATAGCCTATCTATCTAAACCGTGTGGTTGTGTATTCACAGATCCCATTCTCATCGCTAAAGCTCTGCAGGATTATTACCCACAAGACTGCCGCTTCATTCACATCCACCAAGGCCAGTCTGTCTATGTGTATGCCATGCTGAAAGACCGTGGGAACCTCTTTTGGGCTGGCAGTGTAAGTAGCCTATATCTACTGTATTACTGAGTGAACTCAACTGCAGTATTTTAATCATTAAAACGTGCATGATTTTCTTGTATTGACAAAGGGTGCAAAAACAAATGCTTTCCCCTCTGACAATGAAGTCACAAAGTATAACTGAACATAACTGTTTGTGAAGGTTCAAGGGTCATATTATGGGGACCAGGAAGCTCGTCTGGGATATTTCCCCAGCAGTGTTGTTGAAGAGACGCATGCTTTAATGCCTGCTGAGGTCGAGGTCAAGACTGATGTGTGTATCTCAATCTTTTGTCTATGATAAAAAAAAACTGATGCACTGACAAATACATGTAATAAAAAACTGACGCTTAAGGTTAATTATACTCTTTTTTGTCTTTTCAGAAATGGGACTTTTACTGCTATTAGGATTGCTGTCTCGGCTGGAACATAAACACAATTTTTGATTCCACTCTGCACTTTATAGTGTGTCACTACATTTATTATGTCTAGTAGGCAACTCAACTTAAAGATGTCTTACTATTCAGAAGAGGGAAACATATAGACCAGTGACTGTAGACTGTAAATGCTTGTTGATGCAATAGTTTGAATAAAGCTGAGCTGCTGCTATTTGGCTGCAACTGTCGCAAGTGATCGCTGTTTGTTTGTATCACGTGATGTTTTTGGTAAGAAAAGCTTTGAATGAAAACTAAAGAGAAAATCAATTACTACTCAAGCGATAAATGATTGCATCTGCCTTTATTATCTTCACACGACTTCAGCAGTAGATATTCGGTTTCTAGCCGCGTTGCGTCATGCGCATTTCCATGGAGACCAACGACAGCTCGAGGATCGCGTATTACTGGGCATTCAAGGTGAGTGCGTGTTTACAGTTGATTCAAATCTTTTAACTTCAAACTAGGTTTAATAAAATGTAAACGGCTGTACTGATATGGGCGACTATGTAGCTTATGGACGACTATCACAAATATTTAAATGTGTGCGGTCTAGGAACCCTTACGAAAAATAATTTTAGTCAAGTGTGCTATTAGTATACTTCTTTTAAACTAAAAAAATTGTAAGTATACATTTAGTCTACTTTTATATACTTCTCAGAAATATACTTAAAATGACATTTAAGTATACTTGACTTGTAGCCTACTTAGAAAAATGATAAATATATTTGAGCTATACTTGTGTTCCTAGAATCCGTGTTTTCATTGTTATACTGTAGGGGATGCTAGTACACATTTTCTGTACAGAATTTCCAAAAAACACAAGTGAAGAAGAAACCGAAACAACAGATGCTTCCACACAGCGTCTCCCTGACATGCTGCTTCAACACTAACTGCGGTTACTGAAACCACGCCTTCTTTCTTTGCGTGCACATTTGGGCGGCATTATGCAAATATTTCCACATAGTGAGGTAGATATGTGGGGGCGTGTTAGAACGAGCTGTTTTAGGGGGGCGTGGCAGAGTCTTAACTTTGATAAAGAATATCTCTTTGGTTTTGAGACTTTAGTCTTTGCAACTTCAGGGATCTTATCTATGCACAATCAGCTTGTAACACTCCAAAGAGAAAGGAAAACTTGAAATCGCATCATATGACCCCTTTAAAAGTGTGCTAGTGCTATCTTTCTTTAAAATAAATTTGGTTGGATTTTTAGTTATCTAATGCAGTGACATTCATGCATTTTTAAATGTCACTTAGGTGTCCCAATACCAAACAAATAACAGCCAGATAACCTTGAATTTGCTACTCCTCACAGTTCTCCCACTACTTTGAAACCACATATTATTCCAGCTACAAGAAAGATGGCATTCGTCCGATTTACACAAGTATGTTTTTCTTTAAATAATTTAATTTAAGAACTTTGTAATTAACTTTTAATTTATTAGTTAGTTTTGAATTCAACAAAATAAATATGCTTACTGTAAAGAACCTTATATTTTCACTTTTTCAGCCCTGAAGAGAGAGTCAAGAAGCTTCCCTGGCCACCAACCAGAAAGGGACCTTCCACAAACTAAGTGTGTGCCAAACTCCTGCTACAGACTGGACTTTAAAGGCCCTCAACATAGAGTAGAAATAGTGGGGGAGACTTCAGAGCCTCAGTGCGGGAGTGTAGCAGAGACAAACTGAAGCCTTTGGCAGAGAAATTTGGCTCCCAAAATTATATCAGCCTCAGTAGCCTCCAACTGACTTCTGTGAGTGAACCACTGTGTAATATTGATAAAAAGTATTCTTATATTTTGCTCAAGCATGTGTCTATTTTTTAATCATGCATACAGTGAAAAGAAAATGTACCCATGTTGATTGATTTTCCATACATAGTGAGGTTTGATTATTTTGGTTCTCAATTTAAATTATATTGTACTTTACTGCATTAGCCACCTCGTAAAATACATGCGAATTGGTACACTCTAAAAAATGCTGGGTTAAATATAACCCAGCGCTGGGTTAAAAAGGGACAACCCCAGCTATTGACCCAGCAGACCCAGCAGACCCAGCAGTTGTGTTTAAAACAACCCAACCGCTGGGTCAAAACAACCCAATAGCTGGGTTTGTCCCTTTTTAACCCAGCGCTGGGTTATATTTAACCCAGCATGTTTTAGAGTGTAGTGTTGAGATAGTGAGGAAAGTCAAAAATTTCTACAAGCAGCGCTAGATTATACTTGAGTTTAAAATGCAGAGCAATTCACAATTTCAACATATATTTTGTAGGACTACTCATAGACTAAATATCTGCCAGACCATTGAATTCCCTAATCTTTGAACATTTTGAGTTACGCTATGTAGTAAAAGAAAAAATATTAATTTTGAGTTTAAAAAAAAGAAGTTCACACTGGTTTCCAATGGCTGAAGCATTTATTGATAATTATATAATGACGTTAATTAGTTAATTCAGTGCTTCAGCTGTGATTATTGAGGAAAGCAGTGGACAGTGCAAAGCCATGTTTTGAAGTTCTCCTTCTCACTTACACCTCCTAGTGGGGATAATGTAGCAGTTTAGGCCTTTGCTTTAGTGGAGTGATATAAATATAAGGAAATAAGGATATTTATCCTACATCTTTGTCAGAACCTGCTTATGTTGCTTTTCCATATAAAAAAATATGACTGATTTAGTTTGATATTAGCAGCTTTACCATTGTTGAATAAGTGAGCCATTGCTAAGAGACCTAATAGTCTCAGTGATTGTAAACGATATAAATTCTTGGCCCTTATTCACATGCACAGACAGCTCACATCTCACTCTCAAAAGTAACATTCAAATATTATTTAGTAAATCTCAAGGGGGACATTTGACCTATACACCATGCTTGCATGAATAAACTTGCTTTAAATGCTTTCATTTTCATTAATTGTTGCAGTAACAGCAATTCTTGGAACCGTACCGCTGTGTGAGTAGCACCTGCAATTCCTGCTGCTTAACAATGAATGAACAATTAACCGTTTAATTCCGGTTTAAAGCTGTGTTGAGTAACATATTCATATTATTTTATTTAAAAGGAGTTCATAACCCCCTTTAACCTTGGGTTTTAAAGCCCTGCTCCTGCTATTATCATGAAAATACAGTGGTGAAAGTATAGTGTGAAGCAACGCAGTGCATAAATGTGTCATTAACCAATCAAAAACCGGATCAACATTCACAAAGCTTGTCAAAACACTTAAATACTGTCACTTTTTTAAGAACGTATCCACATTCCCTCACTATGTCCTCTGGTCCCAAATCCATCATTAAATTCAAAATAAACATTCTTTTTCAAACCAAAAACAATAGCCATTGTGACATCTCAAACAAATCATTTTAACATACTCAGAATACACAATAACAGAAGAAACACTTTACAGCAAGGTTCCATTTGTTAACATTAGTTAACTATAACATGAAATAACAATGAAAAATACTTATAAGACATTTATTAATCTTAGTTAGTGTTAATTTCAACATCAAAAGTTGTATCTGTTAACAAGGTTTAATGGACCAGAGCTAACATGAAATAACAATGAAGTTGTATTTTTTATTAATTAACATTAACAAAGATTAATAAATACTGTAAGAAATATATTGCTCATTGTTAATGTAAGTTCAAGCATTAAAGGGGTCATATGATGCTGCTAAAAAGAACATTATTTTGTGTATTTGGTGTAATGAAATGTGTTTATGCGGTTTAAGGTTAAAAAAACACATTATTTTCCACATACTGTACATTATTGTTTCTCCTCTATGCCCCGCCTTTCTGAAAGGCGTCGATTTTTACAAAGCGCATCATTCTGAAAAGCGAAGTGTGCTCTGATTGGCCAGCTATCCAGTGCGTTGTGATTGGCCGAATTCCTCAAGCTTGTGACGGAAATGTTACGTCCCTTACCATATTGTGATGCCTGCGGCAACCACATGCGACGACCCCGGGCTGGACTCCGCTTCGTCCACAGTGAAAGCCGATCCGTCGATCAACAGCGCGAAGTTGAAGTATTTCCTCAGCGACCAGCACGGATCAGCTGCATGCATGACGAAGCGATATCGTCCTCTTTTGGAAGACCAAACAAAGTAGTTTCGCTTTCACAACGAAGCACACAGCGTCTTTACGACAATACTACAATACTACAGCGAGAATAAAAGTTACGCCGCCTTTCTTTGAGTGAACATTTGGGTGGTGTTATGCAAATCTTCCCACATCGTGACGTAGACATGTGGGGGCGTGTTAGAACGAGCCGTTTTAGGTAGGCGTGGCTGACTCTTAACTTTTATAAAGAATCCAATCTCCAAATCTCTTTGGATTTGAGACTTTAGTCTTTGCAACTTTACAGATCTTCTTTATGCACCAAGAGCTTGTAACACTCCAAAGAGAAAGGAAAAATTTAAATCGCATCATATGACCCCTTTAAGTAACAGTAATAGGACCTTATTGTAAAGTTTTCCCGTTTTTCTGACTCTCCTGCAAATCACACCATTAATAATGAGAGACTATGGCATTTTTTGCCATTTGATCCAGCTTAATACAATGGCCCATTTTTGCCTCTTTGTCTTTGCCAGGGAAAAATACTCCTACACTCAAATACTTTGTCTTGTTGTCAAGGCTGCGCAAAATACAAAAGCCCCTTTGTTTGGTGGCATCAACAGAAGACATTACTTTATTGTAAAAGTGCATTTCTATGAAAATCTTTTAGGTAAAATTCATCATTTAGAAATTGTGTTTACAGTTAATTTGATGCTGATGGAGTTTTCAACCTAATAGCTGTTTCTTGTCTATAGCCGTAGCAAAGACAACATAAGTTTTGGCCTGTCAGGAAACACTGGGCTAATAAGTTATTCCCTTGTAATGTAGCAGGAGCACAGTGGAACAGGGGAAAACAAGGGACATAAAGTTGAAACATGGAAGTTTAGCAGCTTTACTTCTTCTGAGACCCAGCCACGGCGGGTTTGTCATCACGGGTGATGGGAATGGAGCGCTCCGGGCCGTCTGTGTGCTTGCGTGGGGCTGTCACTGACAGAACGCCATCAGAAGACATGGAGGAAGTGACAGAGGCTGGATCCACACCAGCAGGGACACGGTATTTTCTTAGAAACTCTCGTGAGACGAAACCGTGATCATCCTGCGAGGAAAGCACAACATCGTTCTGAGCAGGTGATAATGAATGGTCCGTCTTTCACTCTGCTTGACTCAATGTTTACTTGCGGCACAAGGCCAGTGATCTTGGTGATGACATGTGGATATTAAACAGTAAAGCCAGTCACATGCAAAGGTTTGGGTAGGTGTTGGTTTACACCCTGTTGAAAAAACAGCATATGCTGGTTAGGTAGTTTTGAAGCAGTGGAGCTAAGCTGGTCCTGTGCAAGCTCATAACCAGCTTATAACAAGCTCAGGACCAGCTTAAACCAGCTCCCATGCTTCAAAACATACCTAACCAGCATATGCTGTTTTTTTCAAAAGGGCAGTGCTCAGTGTTTATGTATTGTGAGTTGTTACCTGACGATCCTCATGTTTGGCATGAATTTCAATGAAATCTCCATTGATTTTCACTGACAGCTCCTCT